AAATACAGGGATACATAACTTTTGATTTATGAGTTGTTAACCCAATTGATCTGCAGTGATGAGCTAATTGTCACTGGCCTGCAAGGAAAATGTAGTGAGGTATTTGTGCTAGAGTTCACCTATTTTACACTTATCTTTTGTTGTACAGGTGCTCAAAGCAGTGGTTCTCTACCACCCCCACCCTGGGAAGCTCAGCCGACAGACAGTAACCAACTGCCAGGTCCTCAACAACCTCATCAATTGCAAGTTACACAGGTGGTTGTCTCACCTTCCCAGCCATTGCCGAGTGGCATATATCCTCAAGGATCACAACATATGGGGAATGGCCAGGTAGCGGGTATGTACCTTCAGCTTACTACAAATGGCCATCTCTCAGCAGTCAATGACCAGGTTATGCAGAGCAATCAGTTTGTAGGAATGCATCCTCAACCAATCCAAGGAGGACAGCCCCTGGGTATACTTCCACAGCCAATGCAGTCGGGTCAGATGCCTTTTACGTATCCTCAACAAATGTATAGCAACCAAATGGCCAGCTATGGCTACGGCTATGGCTATGACTATGGATATGGCCAGCAGCAAAATGCTCAGTTCCTTGATCAGAGAATACCTGGGCTATCTGTGAGGGACGATGGTGTCTTGAGGAATTCGGGCTACTCAGTTTCCACTCCATCCTATGTGCCATCTGGAAAGCCCTCAAAGCCAGAGGACAAGCTGTTTGGAGACCTTGTTGACATTTCGAAATTTAAGCCAACAAATACTACTCCAGGCAGAGCCGGGAGTTTGTGACCAATGCTGGTTTCACTTTTTTTTGATTAATAACTTGCTTGTTCCATTTTTTCAGATCAAGTTTTTTGTGGTTTTTATACATTTATATCTTCTCGTTTGGTTTTGTTGGGTTGCTTGCTTTTGCATTAGAATTATGCAAATTCCTTGTAGAAGAAATCTGAAAAAAAGAAAAAGAAAAAGAAAAAGAAAAAGAGGAAAGGAAGACGGCTCTTATTATCAGGTTGAATTTACTGGATTGACTTTTATTGAGTGGAAGCCTGTTTGCCTTTCTGAGAGCTGTGACTTTATCATATTCTGTTTTGATATTTAGAACACATCCCTATGTGAAGTTAAAGGATTTGCCAATGAATGTTGGGCTAGGTCACCTCAAACCGTATGCGAGGAGACGCGCACATATGGTTTTTAAGGGGAATTAGTTGAGGTCGGAGCCGACCCGACTAGAGGGACTGAGAAATTAGTAGAGTATAAAACATACTTTCAAGGTTTACCTTATTTTGATCTAGTCACTGAATGAAGTTTTGTTTCTTTTAGAAATTCATTTAATCAATTAGGGTTGCTATAATGAGAAGACATCAAGCGCATGTTTGTTTGAAGGACAATGATGGAAGGACAATGATGGTATAAGGAGATGGGATTAGGGAAAATAGTATGTGAGGTTCGATAATATCTTATTTGTTTGTTTTTTGTTTTTTTTTTTGTGTGGTATTAATTTTTGGGTTGCAATATCAATCCGTTAGTTATAGTTCACCAAAATTCACGTACATGGGCTTATATAATACAACTTAGGAGGTGGTATTATTTTTTGGGTTTTGGCCACCAATAATATTAGGGAGATTAATGACTGAATTGCTTTTCGGCCTTTAATGTTAGTATGTGATTTTGGCCACCAACGGTGTTTTGTTTTTTAATTTTATTAATTTTTTTTTAAAAAAAATTGATTTGAATTTTTTTTTGTATTATATTTAAACGTATGGTGTCATTATTTTTTTTATAGAAATTTTATTAATTTTTTTTTTTAAAATTGATTTTGAATTTTTTTTCTTGTATTATATTTAAGCGTACAGTATCACCGTTTTTAAATTTTTTCCTTATATTATGTTTAACAATTTAAACATACGGTGTCACCGGTTTTAAAATTTTTTTTTTTTACAAATCTTTTTGTACATACATCTGAAATAGAGTAATGAAATGGATGATGTTAAGGATAAAATTATATATTTGTTATACAAGATGTGATAGAATAGATGACTATTTGTGAGACCCACCATAATACCTATTGAACTAACAAACATTAGAAAAGATTGAAATACTTTCTATTACCGATATTAATTTTCGTTAGTATTGAAAATGTAAGTGATACATTTTTCAATACATCCGTAACAACCCTCAAAAGTCAAAACAAACATACCCCAAGGGTAAGATACATTACATAAGAAGTTTTATGTTCTGGTTGGTTAATTTTGTGCATTCAGTGTTCACATAAAGTGCTTTTATTTACAAAAAAAACGTAAATAATGAACTTCTTGATTGTAATCATTCTCCTTTATTAAACAATTAGATCCATTAGCTGTCGTCAGAAATTTAGTAAAAAATCCAGTTCACCATTTTATTGTTATAATGATATATCTCTCTTATTTCCAGGACCATTTTAATGTTTGAAAGTTCATTAGCTGCTTGGTGCATGTGTTCCAGTCGAAAATGGTTGCAACAGCTATTTTCGCAGAGGATGTCTTTACATGGGTATTAATGCAAAGGGCTTGACGCCCGATCTCAATGTAGCGATGAACCCGTGATCAAACACTAGCAGATGCTCCTCCGGCTACCAAACTGGTGGTTAACAGTATCGTTGATCGACCCTGAGCACAAAAGGTAAAATATGAAAATGGTAACACAGAAAAACTTAACTCAGAAAGACTCGGCCAATATCTCCTTCTGACTCCTTTTTCTCTCCATCTGTATCCTTTTCTGGCTTGAGCAGCAGGAGGAGTAATGGCACCGTGCCAGCAATGGAAGTGCAATTAGACCATTACCACCAGAAGGAACTGATGCCAACTTCTTCCCAGAAGCCATAACTAAAAGCATCACCATCTTCAGATCCAAAGGCTAAGGGTTTTCTTCAAATCATTCGCAAAAGATATAGCATTTCATCTTAATACAGCAAGCTCTCCTTTCATTTCTTTCCGTCCAGAAAATCTTAGGATTCAACATAAACCAATACTCTTCAGAAGTCAATTTATACTTAATAGATTTCAATAAATCATGTATAAACCTAGAGATTTTGGCATATCTGTTGTGTCCATTCATCAGCAAGAGGGTACTAGAGGTTAAAGAACAGACATCATACATGGGCACGAGGAATCAAACTAAAACCTCAAAGGGAACTCTACAAAGTAAGCCTGACAATCAGATATTTTGTTGCAAGCCACGCACAGTGCAATGCCTTCAGACGTGTATCAGAAGTCTGAACAAATGAAAGAGAAACCCCAGAAGAGAAATTCAAAGACATTATGGAACCATAATTCAACTTTTGGTTGGCTTAAACCGAAGCTATAAAAGTATACTTGATTTGCATCAGACTTCTCATTGAGCACAGCAAAAGCTTAAATAAATTGAAAAAGAAAAACAAAACAACAGTAGAAGAGCCAAAAGAGGCAACGAAGTTTGCAAAAGGGAGACTTTGCACTGTGAAACTTCTTCATAGAAGAATACAAGTTAATAAAAAAACACCCATTCACCCATTGGACATTCATTGCTGCAAGAAAAAAGGTCAACATCAATCCTACAGACCACAACCAAAATTCTTCTTGTAGCACTCGAGAGTTGTGATAAAAGGAATGCTGTCATAAAGGCATTGAGATGCCTGCAGCACAAACAAGAAGGATTAAAAACCATTTCAGATCAGCATCAGGAATCAATGGAACACCATGTAAAGCACCAACCAAATGTTTATTAGGGTCAGACAATTCTAGAGAATAATCAGCAAGGAACAGTTCTCGTGAAGGCATAGCTAAATTAACAGGACATTGTCTTACTTTATGTTACATGCTTGTACTTCTTAATAAGTTTTTATTGAACTGACCATTTTTATGCCTTAATGCAAGAGAACTATCTATGCACTAAAACATGTGGTTCCTTCTTCGAAGCCCATTCAACTCATTGTTGTATCGGAACATGAATGTAGAATTCCATACCTCCACTTTGCATCCCACTTCAGTCATAAAAACACGCACAGAGATATGCACATAAATACATAAATAGGATAGTTTTGGGGAGATACTGGTTGACACAAGCATATAAGTTATTTCACACTCCAAAATGACAAGCCTTCAAGCTTATATTTCGTATGATAGAAATTCATGATGATCCTTCCACGTCGCCGCGATCCAAACACTTCACAAGGCCATTCACTCAGTAGGAGCGACGGGCAGTGTGTACAAAGGGCAGGGACGAAGTCCCTGATCTTCAAGTAAACCAAGATTTTACATGGCTGCAATTTCAAAGAGCTTGGGGTTTGGACATTCTTCGCACCTTCACAGTTGGTCTCTTCCCATGCCTACAGGATTTCATTAATTTAGATTCATACTTTTCCCCTTGGAAGGTGCAGATGGGCAACTAAGATGTTTTACTATTTCTTTGTCATCTGAACAACCATACCAGAGAATTCAGAGATAGCTGCATCAGTTTCCAAGTGGGTAGCATAATGCTGAAAAAACTTGCAACTATAAAATTCTCTGGTGAACCTATTTCTGAGATTCTGAGCTTACAATTACCACGGGTTTAAATCAAGCGCCATTTATTGTCACTGATCACTCCCACTAATTTTGAACTCATAGAATCTTAGAACTAGAATCTTTGGTGTAAAACACATTCAGTATCCAGCATATTGTTGGTTTTTCCCCCTCAGTTCTTGTTTCTCCCACTCCTAATTGAGTAAAGTTTTACGTTTTCACTGATGTGATCTGACATAACACTAATGTAGCTCCCATATAAAGCAATGTCTTAGTTTCTTATTTTGACGATACAGTTATCGATTATGTTGAAATTGATCAACCTGTTCTGCTCACATTGCAACATAAAAGTTCCTTGCGTCACAGGGCATATGCATAAGTAATTAAATAATAATCCCCAATAATTGATTTCCAATTATTATGCCTGTCATGAATCAGATAAATTTACAGGCATAGTTATGCCACAATTCTGATCCTACAATCGTATCATCCAAACTCTAAGATTTGATTAAGCTCCAACCCTTTTCTGAAATGTGGGTTTTCTTTTGTCATGATGCAAGTTAAAACTGGGAAAATATGTTAGAATGCAGCCTGTAAAAGCATGCATTATCCTTGCACTCAATCATAATGGTATTTGGACCCTACGCCCTGCTACTAAGTAACCCACTGTTACCACTAGGTCAAGGCACTAGTCAGTATATTATATAAGATCATTTCTTCATTACAAGAGATAGGTGAAGCACATACCAATTTTTAGTCAACTTACACCCTGAAAGGCCGCTGCACCCAACCAATAAAGACAGACAATCCCCTTCTTTAAAATAATAGAATTCATTAAAGAATAAAAATTAATCTTCAGGAGCCATGGCGAAGAGGTATTGGCGTTCCACATAATCAATCCACTTGGTAAGAGAACAAAAAAGCAAAACAAAAAAAATACTACGCAAGGGAAAAATGCTTCATGCTTGACAAGATCTATATTCCAATTAAACAAGCGTACATAATTTGGCCAATTCAAACATAAGTTCACATAAAATTTAAATCAACAAAACCTCAAATAAAATCATACGCACGTCATTCAAAAACATGAAAATCACCCACTATTGAGACACTTTTTGCTAGCAAACAATTTAGAGGTTATCCAAACTGTAATTTTGATTCTATATTCCATCATTTGTGTTTCTACTTTCTACTGCTTCATAAAACCCAGAGACACCGTAGAAGTTAATTATTAATAATGGACTTCATATTGATCATGATGGGATTCACACTGGCACCAACTCTTTACTAGTTTCACCTTCGATAGTAGGCCAAGTCATCAGTTACTGATAATGGGTTTTACTACACATAAAAAACATGTATAATAGCCACCCAGATTAACATAGCACGCACCATATACATTAATCCGAGTGAGCGTACTTTGGGGTGGGTGGGTGTGGTGTGGGTGTGTGTGTGTGTGTGAGAGAGAGAGAGAGAGAGAGAGAGAGAGACCTTGGGGAATCAAACCCCAGCTCTGAGACTCTACAGACAGAAATGATCTCAGACGAGCAGAAGCAATTGCGCTATGCAAAGGCATCATAGACATTAAACAGCTCAGCTCCACTGGTAATCTAAACAAATCCCAAAACCACAAAAAATCAATCAATTCACATATATACAACATATTTCTTGCTTATAAACATGAGTGTGTGTAATTGAGAGAGAGAGAGAGAGAGTAGAAGGTGAAAGGTTTCACCTTGACACAGCAGAAATGCGTTTTGGTGAAGCGAAAAGCGGGGATTGAGAGATCGCTTTCAATGGAGAAATCGAATGTGTGGTTGGTTTAGCATTGAAGAGTTTGTGAGAAAGTGAAGATAATCTGGGCACAACCCTAGAAGCAGACATTGTTGTCACAGAGGTTGAGGTTACAGGGTTTAAGCAAAATATATATATTGATAGTGTAACACTGCTTCATATCCTGCGCTTGGTGCGTAATGCGCTGTCGTGTTGTTTGGGTACGGAAGTAAAACTGTCCGGGATGGTCTTTTCAGGGTTAATTTTTTTTTTTTTTCCGAAAGATCGTTCGATTTTAATTTGTACCCTTAAAGAGTAAAAATTTTAATTTACACTCTCACTATAAAAATTTATATCAATGTGCACCCTCAAGATTAAAACTCTCAATTTGCACCCTTAAAAATATAAATTTGTATTAATATGTACCTCCAAAGATCAAAAATCTCAATTTGTACCCTCAAGATAGAAATTTATATCAATGTGCACCCAAAAGATTAAAATCTCAATTTGCACTCTCAAATATAGAATTTATATCATTATGCACTTAAAACTAAATTGATAATTATACCTAGATTCCCTCATGTTTGTCACTTATCATTTGGATCTCTTTATATTTAGAATATTACTCCTAACATCTCATGACATTTATGCACGTACACATGTAACCCATTTTCATTGAAATCTGTTAATATAACCGTTAAAAATATAATTTTATCCTAATAAAAAATTATAATTTCATATTACCCTTATTTTATGGGTCTAATATACTCTAAAGTTCAAAATCAAGCATACCATTTGAATGTCTAATAAAATATAGATATTTATATATGTTTTTCATATTTTCCTTTATATAAATATCTACATTCTATTTGACATTCAAATGGTAAGTTTGATTTTGAACTTTAGAGTATATCGAATCCACAAATAAAGGGTAATATGAAATTATAATTTTTTTATAAGATAAATCATATTTTTAATGATTATATTAATAGATATCAACGAAAAGTGTTTATGTTTACACATGTATAAACGTCATGAGATGTAGGGGTAATATTTTAAATGTGAGGGGTTCAATGATTAAGTGACAAACATGAGGGGATTTAGGTATAATTTATCAATTTAGTTTTAGGTGCACATTGATACATATTTCTATCTTTGAGGGTGCAAATTGAGATTTTTTTATCTTTGGGGTATACATTGATACAAATTTCTATCTTTTAGGGTACAAATTAAATTTTTGATCTTTGGGGGTATAAATTAAGATTCGAATGATCTTTCGGGTACAAAATGAGATTAATCCCTTTTTTTTATCTGACTTCAGGAATAAAATTTTTTTTTTTTTGGACAAATTCCATTTTACCCTTGTGGTTTGCCCCCGTAGCACTTTGCTTCCTTGTGGTTCAAAAATGGGCACATAGCCCCTGTGTAGTTTTGGACCGAGTTGCTACTACTATAGTTTTCCATCCAACTTAATGGAAATTGTGGTACACACGCCCAATTTCAGAGTGGTCGTGCCAAAAATTTAGTCAAAGTCTATAATTAATGCAAAAAGACAAAAAATTTCTTAATCTTTTTCAACCTTCTATCGAAACACCCATGTCTTTCCCATCATCTTCATTTCTTCCCGCCAAACCCACCATTACCATTAACGACCTTTTACTTTTTCATCCTAACCCAAACCACTAGCAAGGGTCTTCTTTCTTTCTAGCAGAACCACCAACACTAGCACTGGCAACCAACTCCACTCATAAGCGCAATTTTAACCTTGTCAAAGCCACCACCACCACCATTTGCAACCTCCACAAACGATGACGATGCCAAAACCACTTTCAGCCCCTAACTACCTTAACTTATCATGTGAAATTAATCACTTTTAATTTCAATTTGAACACAAAATCGAAATCACAATCACTTTCGATTCTAAATTGAACCCAAATTCTAAAAATTGAAATCCAAATCATGTCCAAAAATAAAATACCAAAATTAATTTTGGTTGAGATTTTGCAACAAATTAAAGAGATGTTGTTATGTTTGCAACAAAGAAGAGACTGTGTTGGTTACTATGATTTATTGCACTATTTTTGCTATGATTTGTAAGGTGGTTCCATTGAGAGGTGACAATGGATTTTTACAGCGATGTCTCCTACATTAGTTGTTTGTTGTGGTGTGAACTTTGGAACTCTAAATCTAGATATGTGAACTTGGGAACCAATTGATACAAGGGGCTTCACTAGTAAAGGGAAAAAGTGAGCTTGGATTTTATTATCCTAATTGTAATTGATTGATTTGATTTTTATTTTAACAGTATAATCAATATTGGTAGGTTTTGATTTTAGTAGTGTTATTGGTAAGGAGGAGAAGGTAATTGAGAGAAGAAGATAGTGAGGATATTAATGTAATTCAACGTTTCCTGTTAACGGTGTTAGTTGTGCAAATTGGTCCAAAACTATATGGGGGCTATGTGCTTATTTTCAAACCACAAGGGGACAAAGTGCTACCGGGACAAACCCCAAAGGAGTAAAATGGAATTTGTCTAGAGGTTTTCAGGAATAAAGAATTTTTTTTTTTTGAGCTTGAGTTGTGGAAATAGAGACTCAAAATAACACCTTATTCAAACTCGATTTGAAATTCTGAATAGTTTTAAAGAGTTGTAATTTTACAAGATTATCTTACAAATTAATCTTAAATAATATTTGTTAAGGTTGACATCTGATTAAACTCAAGTAATTTTTTTTTTTAACTGGTTTAGTATTCAAATTGATCCCAAATTAACGAGCATCCAACAAGTTATTCAAAACCAAGTCTTTGCAGTTGAGTCCTTCTTTCAACTATAGATCTAGACTTAGCAAGTCCTTGTAGCTGATCAATCTATTGCATGTACTTTTTTATATTATCATGCAGCTGTTGTCCTAGTTTTGAAGTAAAACGAATCAGAATATGATTGCTTGGATAACTGAAAGCATAATGCCTGCATTCCCCTTTTCTGGCTTTGAACAAATTGCTACTTTATCTATCTCTCCGAATAGCATACACTTTGTGTTTGTTTCTTGGTTAATAAAGAAAAATTACATTTTCTGTTAGCTGCATATTGTAAACTGGATCAGCCTTTGTATTAGTATGGCAGCATTGGCAGAAGAAAAGTGTCTGTTGAATGTTTTCCCCATTGAAATTTACAGTTTTGGTGATATTAATTTCTGAATGACCTTCTGTCAGTATCTGATCAAAACTAGTGCTGTTAATTGAAAGAAGAGAAGAACTAAGTCTCCAGTTCAGATAAACTATCAACCTCCATATATTTGCTTCTCAAATTGACAGAGTCAAAGCTTACCTCAACTTTGGATTTGACTTACTATATGGTAAAAAAAATGAACTGGGTCACCTTAATTGGGTATTTTTCATTAACAAAGCTGTTGGCTGAAAGCAATACTCTCTGAGAGCTTGTGTCCTGGTTATTAATGGTCATGAGTTATTAATTAAAAAAATTGTAATGTTGATGCCATGTCTTTTTAACTGTACAGACAGGAGGGTCGAGGAAGAAAAGAGGACACTATTAATGTGAGAACATCATCAGAAGCCTGTTTTTTAAGATGGAGAGGTTTAAGTTAGCTTGTTGACCCCACTGTCATAGCACTTGTGGATAGAGCTGATAATCGAGTCCATCCGCTCAGACTCGGTTAAGATAGGACTCAATTCGAGTTCGGCTTATATTCTGAAGGAGCATAGCTTGAAATTTTTTTTAGAGTTATTTAAAAAACAAATCTAAAAAGCTTCGCTTGAGTTTGCGAAGTTCGACTCGTTTATATTTAAAATAGTTGAGTTACTCGAGTTCGGTTTGAGTTTGACGGGTTTTAGACTCAACTCTGGTTCAATTCATTTTCTAAACAAACCGTATTTGAACAATATTTTAGGTTTGTTTGAAAAAATAAGCTGTCTCAATTATCAACCCTACTCGTAGAATCATGCATGAAGGTTGGAAAAGTTCCATAAACATCTATATATATATATATATATATATATATCCCCTTATATATTGCACACTCCTCTCTCTCTCTCTCTCTCTCTCATGGTTTTACCAAGTTTGAGTTGTTGTCTTACTTTTTCAGCTAATTGTTTCCCTCTTGCTCTTATATAGGTAAAATCTCGTCCGTTCTGGTGACATCCCGAGGGTACCAGTGCATGGCAAAGATGTATACTAGGCTTGCAGCCATGCCCAAGAAAGGGTGAAGTGACAACTTGCTGTTTCTCTGTCTCTTAACTATTCTTAGGTTTTTGCTGTTAGCTTGCAACAAAGTATGTATTGCAAAAAAGTTGTATAATTTAAACAATAATAATTGTAGTCAATTTTAAAACGTTCGACTTCATACACAGACTTTTTGCACGGTTGTCATTGAATTAACAGTAGATCCTTACTATTATTAGGATCAATTCTTAATTTGATACTAGTAAAAAAAAAAATAATAATAATAATTTGATACTAGTGCATCGAGTCATCAAATTAAGTTCTAATAGTATACCTCTAGTTATTTGTTGAACAAAACTGTAAATGTTTATTCTGCTTATGGAATTGAATTATGCAAATTATGGGCTGATTTTGAAGCAAATTATGGCAAGTGATTGAGAAATTCTCCAATATCCTCTCTCAATTTTCCTTAAATTCAAGCTAAATGAGGGATTTAAATACCTCCTCAAGATACAATTTGGCATTTAGCAAAAATCAAGCAATACTTCAGCATCCAGCAAAACTGCAAGATTTATTCTAATGGCAAATGCATGTCATCCTGGAGGAAAGCCTTATAAGACTCTGATTGAAAGGGTGTTTTTATGTCACCGTTTTGTTGGGTTTACCTATGGTATCAAAAAAGAAATTGATACACACCACTTACTATTATTTTGGGTGTCTATAACACTTTTTGAGTAGAATTTCAAATTTTCGGAATGCACTAAATTTTTTGGTTCACTTAACATTTTTTAAGTCCACTTGTCACTTTTTTAGGTAATATCACTGAAAAATTTTAAAAAGGTACCACAATATTTTATTACTATTTCTTTTAAAAAATGCTTAAGATAATAAAAGTTCACCCGAGTTTGAATAACAGAACTGACACTTTTTTTTGTTTAAATAACAATAAAAACAGGCCAAATTAGAGCAAGCATTTGTGCATATATATGACTTAGCTACAAACGGGAATAATAATTAATAAGAGATGTCTTTACTTGCAACACATTTTATTAAACTAACTCAAATATCTTGAATTCAAATCTTGACAATCCTTTAAGAGCAGATCACTAGAGATTTATCCCTCATAAATACCTTAATTTCAACGTGTATGCCATATTTTTGACCCAATCGAAGAAGAAATTAGTTGAGGTACGCAAACATGAACTTTGCCAATGTAATATTTTCACTTTATCTTTCAAAGATTAAACATCTCATATTATGCCCTCAAATTTTTAAATGGTAACACCATACCTATTTTTGCCCCCAAATTTGGTGCATAATTTGGGGAGAAAAAGGTAAAATGGGACATGTTGCCACCATTTAGAAATATTCAAAGTGATATGAAAATTTTAATCTATGAGCAGATAAATTGAAAATTTTAGGGGGGGGCAAAGTGTCATCCCCCAATTTTATTACCACATGTACATGATATAGCCGAGTGGGGTGAGAAGCCATTATCACTTGAGGAACTTGTCAAACCAATCACTTGCTTCTTTCACCATCAATGGCGTCATTTGGTGCCCAATTGCAGGTTGTGCAATCAGCTGGAAGTAAGAGAAGAAAGCATACTTTAGAAGCAACGTAATCCAAAAGAATACTTCACCTACTCTCAACTCAACAATGTTTTTTAACTATTTATAGTCAACTACTTGAATTATATTCTTCCATTCTACTCTATCAAGAAAAAACCTGTAGTGTTCACGAGATTATTAGTAACAATGTTGCATGGTACATTACAATGACACCACTTCGGTTTAAGAGAAAAATGAGGTGAACTTAGTAGTTTGAAATAAGAGAATTAAATGAAGTGTAAAAATAGATTTAAGGGGTGGAAATAGCCCCACCCATCTGAATAATGCAACGAAACCCATGACAGAATCAATCACAACCATATTTCTTTACTCAACACAACCAAACTCCAAATTACTTAAAAAGTCAAGAGGAAGTGAGCTAACTTCCCAACCAACGCTTGAGGGTTACTCCGAAAGAGGGGCATGGGGAGTGTTGAGTGGGTGTGCACAAAGGGAGTAGAGGTTGGTGGAAGAGGAGGGAAGGGAGAACAAAGAGATCCGGTGGATGAAGGCTCATCGGATTATGCTGGGGGTGGGGGCCTTCACCACCATTGCTTGCATTCATCCTTGAGCATGGAGGAGAGCAATATTTTTAAAATCGGGAACTTAAATATTGTGAGGGAAAATCGGAACGCTATTGGTATCGGCTCAGTTAGTTCCATCAGCCGATAATCTTTGTTGGGTGTCGGTGCAAATTTAGAAAAGGGAGGGTATCATCTGAATTTTCACCAAGCTTGAATGGGTATATTAGACTTGTCATTGTGATTTTCCTAATGCTTCCGGAGCTTCAAAATACTCATAACTGAAATTTTCTGATCTTGTCATCCTATTGAACATGAGACGGATCTATACCTGGAAATTATCCAAACAATGGGCCTCCTCATATGCCTTACACGCTCTTGATTTGGGAACCTCCAGACCTGCAAGGGGGCAACGAGGATCCTTTTCACCTGTATATATGAAACAAATTTTCAATTCAAATGAGTCATCACGAAAAGATCTTAGTGCATATTTAGATGATTAGCATGCAATAAATAGTCATACCATTTAAAATCAGAAGAGGACGGGGTGCAATAATCGGTACTGTGTGTGGTGAATCAAACTGGGAGTCTAAACCAGGAGCTATTCTGTCCCAGACCTGGTAGGGAAAGCAAATATCAGATGTTAATCCAGCTTTCAAGGTGCATCACTGGAGGAGAAGCTCAGAAAGCAAACTGCATATTCAAAGATGAAAAGTCTAATGCTTACAGAAAGGGAATGCCAGACCTAAAAGAATGGTTTGACTAGAACATCCACAATTAAGTATTAAAGACCACTTTATGAAAAATCTACCATTAAGGATGGTAGAAAATTAGACATGTAAAGACTAAAATCCTTTCCTCCTCCTGACATGATTATACAGATAACAAACAAAGCCACCGACCTTCTCCACCACTTCTTTGTTGATTTCGCTTTTGCCTAAATCAATTCGTGCTTCTGAAAACAAAGAGCCAAGAACATTAAAGAAACAATAAATACATTTAAGCCAATGAAAAGCTTTAGGAAGCATAGCACTAAGGGGCCAATATATATCTTCCACACGAGACTGCTAATTTTAAAAATATATTATGCATACACTTATGGAAAGCTTCACAATTTTCCTGCAGATTACCTTCAATTCTTTTCCTGTTTATGCTGAAAAAAAGGCAAGTTCCTGTTAATAGAGGGCATGTAACTAGAGGTGTAATTACATACCCTATATAAACTTTGGTATTCCAATTCTTCAAATCAAAGAATTTTCCCTTTCATGAGCTTTTTAAATGATATTGTTGGGCAAATTGCCAATGCTAGGACTAACAACGTAATAAGAGTTATATACAAGTCTCGTTAAATCCAACCCTATTTAAGTACTTCTGTTCAGTTGCTATTTATTTTTCTTCGTGTCTCACCTTCAAACACAGCCTTGATACTGTCAACTCGACCCTGCCATTGATCATGCTCTATGGCCCATCGAAACCCCTACAAGCATATTACAAAAACATTTATCCCATCCTCAGATTTTCTATTACAAGATGCAAAGCATATGTACTTCTGTTTGAGGTGTGATTACGATGACTTTTGATGACACCAACCTGAACACCAATTATGGGGACAGCCACTGTATAGCGGGTGTCAACGGCAGCAGCAAACCAAGCATGCATTCCTGCATTGCAGAATAACCCAGTGAGTTGTGCATGTTGAAGAATCAATGGAAGTTAAAAGTGTTAACCTTCTAAATTTCATGCATCCAACCTCCAAGTGATTCGCCGGTGATTCCTATCTTACAAGAATCTATATCCTCCCTCTGTGTAAGATAATCTGCCAATTTTATCAAGTCCCACACCTGAAAAATCCATAATTTACCAGTGAAAATTGAGGAAATCAAATTCAGATGGTTTGTTATCAAAATCAAAAATAGCAGGTAAGGATTCAGCATAAGTAATATATATTTTTTTTAAAGACATGAAAAGACTGTAGTGTTACCGTATCAAATATGAATGGCATCGTATCACCTTTCTTCCATGATAATACAAGAGCCTACATTAGAATAAAAGAAAGCAGATCTGGGAATCAATTTAGGAACATAAAGCAGTAATCATCGTGGAAAATTGCATTAATGAAGAATCTTTCTTATTTTGATGTATTACTTGCTCTGACTTATCATTTGATTGTGCCAAAGCATATACAACCACCATTTGTCTGAACATGGTGGCGCCCGTATGCTGGAGCATCAAAATGCTAGCCTAAACACTAAAACAACTCCTAGGCAAAAATGTGACTGTTTTTGTATAAGGTCTATTACATAATCAAACTTTTCCACTCAATGTGTGTTGTATGAGAAGCTAACCAAGGTTGTAACAAAGCAATAAACAAGGATTGGGTATACACATCTCGGTAGGTGGTCATTCCCCTGGCACGTTCCCCATGGTACCGAGAATCAATGGCAACAGCTACGTATCCCCGAGAAGCATATGCCTAAAACAAGTATAATGCATTAATCAACCGCTTATCCTTACAACATCAAGTTAATGAAGACTAAAGTTTTGAGAAAACCGCAAAAATTGTTACCTCAAGCAATGGTCGCAACCACTCTTTGCATTTATGTGTACTATGCAGAAAAACAACAGCTGGCCTTCTTAGTTGATTGCTCTCCTTCATGCTCAAAATCAGCACAGGCAAGCGCCCCTGCTCTCCTGCCTACTTATTTGTTATTACCATGAGATAGGAAGTTCTTTCATGCTCCATTTCAGCAGAAATGGCAGGTGTAAAGAGGGGGTCTAATGAAGCGAACTAAATTAAAAAACTATATTAATACAGCAAATTTAGAATAGCTGCGGAAGATGACTAGACGACCAACCACAATAGTTTATTACAACATCCCTATTATTTTGCTAGTTCAAGAACTAGGCCCCAAGTTGTAAAGTCCAGTCAATCAATTATGATGTAATAAAAATATGGTACTTCGCCATCTCCCATACTAAAATATCCGGTTATAGGAACTAACATATTGTAATGGCTAACTAAGTCAACATAACCAGGATTTGGAAATCCGCTTACCTCTGTGGTCAGGTATAAGTTTTCCTGTACAAGTAACTTCTTAAAATTGAGAATGTCTGCCTTTGGGCAAGATTCCATTGCCTTGCGAAATAAAAGAGAAAGTAAATCAGAATGGTAGAATCAACAACCACCAGTAGTAAAAACAAAGTTCCTGAAGAAGGTATTAACCTCACTGAAGTGTGGCCGAGGAGTTTCCTGATACAAAGGATGTGCCACAGGTTTTCCAGGTTCCACAGAAAGCGGAACTGAAAAGAGTATTCAAAAAAAAAATTTACAAAAGAAAAGTGTATATCAAAGCAGCCTTACAGTGGAACTGCTAAAAAAAATTTAACAGAAAACAACATATTATATGTCAAAGGAGTTTTTAAAGGAGTCTAAACAAATTACTATAAAAAAAAAAGAAATGGGATTAGGAAAGCACTATTTACCAGATGGTCAGAAAAGTAAAATGTATTTTTCACCACAAAACTTGCCTCCATTCAAAATCATAATGTCCATAACTACCGGAAGTTATTAGTGAATATTGACACAATGGCCAAAATGTTTACAACCATAAAAGAATTCATCTCTCTGTGAGTACGTTAGTGGGAGTGTGGGCAGGTTGAAGGGGGTTTGTGTGTGTGTGTTTTAGTCTCCCACACTCTCCTACTTTTGAATCTATCTTTTTCATGGCTTCCACACTCGGGGAAGCTTGGATAAAAGAGAACAAACTAACCATAACCTTGCTTTGAATTTTGAACTTGTGCTTTCATAGTTTCAAACTAAACAACAACTATCCCCAAAATCTGTGCAAAAGCTTCCCTTTTTATAATTTTAGCTGCTCTATGCACTCTTTCCCTCACTTTTGCAAAGCAACAAAGCATCAATTGAAAGCTAAAAGCACTAAATCAATAAAAGCAGATTTTAAAATGGTCACTTAACCCCTATCTGAGATTACATTGAAACGCCTTGACCAATCACCAAATTAAACAGTCCTACTAGACCAAAGCACCATTCAGTTACTCCACAGATTCACTAGTAACATAAAATTTAACCATCTTGATTGGGGAAAAACATAAAAAAGAAAGCCTTTAGTACCCATTAATTGATAAGGCTTAGAAACCTAACTAACTTAATTTAGTATTTCTTGCTCTTCGATCTCCATTTTTCATTGTTTGATAATTAATATGCAAAATGTGGTTGATTACACTTCAATATCGAACAGAAATTAAGAGGTCAACGGATTAGCATGACACCAACGTCCACTTTCAGTTCTCTCTCTCTCCCACACACACACACACACACACACAGATTACAAAATTAAATAGTACTCCAATGCTTTACAGACTAATGTAAAACAGTCGAATATAATTCAGTAATGAGCCGTGGCTAAAAGGTTCAATTCCCAGAAACAGTTTATGTACATCTCGCCATCGCAAACCCGCAACAAAACCCCTTTTTTAGCTGTCAATAATCCAGTCGTAAGAGAAAGAGAACCAAATTGAACTAAGAGGTCTATACCCACACACACACGCACACAAACACATGTATACACAGGCACATACACACATATAGATTATCAAAAATAGAAAGACAAGAACTACAACAATAAATAATTTTTTTTTGATCTCGAACTACAACAATAATTTGACCTCAACAACACCTTTATAATTCAAATAGAACTACGATTGTGTGCGTGTGTGTGGTTTATAAATCGAAATTCACCTTCGGCGGATCGTCGACTGCGAAGAACTCGAACGAACTCAGAACGAAGCTTCGCTGGTTCATGGCTGGTGGTCTCCATGTTCTGATCTGTCAAGTAACTGATTCGATTGCTGTTGGTGATGCTTCGAGCTGCGTATTTATAGACAGGTGAGGGCGACTCTGTTTTAGGAGAGTGAGTTGACACACGCCCGCACGTGTGACGCGAATCTGCTAGCACGTGAATCATGAATGTTGATGCTATAACTGACACGAGTAAAATGGCGGGGTACGTTGTGTGCAGAACAACGGTCTATAAAAATATAGAGAAAGAAAACATCTATAAAAATTAAAATTAAAAAAAAAAACAAAATATCAGCGTCTTTTTTACGAAGTAGGGGGAAGAAACAGTTTCAGAGATGGAGAAGAAAGACGAAATCTAAACAAACAGAGAGAGATAATAAAGGAGAAGGAATGAAAACACGACTAACCGGATGGAGCTCTAATGTTCGTTTATTTTTGTCGAAGAGAAGAGAGAGACGAAGGGGTAAGCGAGGAAAGGGCAACTGGTTATAAGAATTTGATTATTAAATATAAATGTTAATTGTAAATTGCACTCCAAAACATCTCTTGAATTTCAATTTATATCTTTAAAAATTAAAAATTTTAATTTATACCCTCAAAGATATAAATTAATGTCAACGCGCACTTGAAGGTAATAGCCATTAGTTTGTCATATAAAACTAAATGGATAAATTACACCTAAATCTTTTAAAGTTTGTTACTTAATCATTGGACCCCCTCACATTTAAAATATTACACCTACACCTCACAACGTTTGTGTCGTGTACCACATTATGCCTTGTCACCAATATTCATTAGTATAACCGTTAAAAAAATATAATGTCATCCTAATAAAAAAATATAATTTTCATATTATCCTTTAATTTATGGGCCCATTGTAGTTTAAAGCTCAAAATCAAAATTTTCTTTTGAATGTCCAATGAAATGTAGATATTATATAATGTTCGAGAGTACCAATATTATATAATGATCTTTATATTCAATGAAATACATCACTTGAACTAAATTATTTGGATGTTCAATTGGAGAACATTTTTGGCAATATTTGAATTTTTAGGGGTATAAGTGTAATATTTTAAATATAATGGGTTCAAGTAATTAAGTGATAAATATGAAGAGTTATAGATGTAATTTATCTCTTTAATTTTAGATGGCAAACTGAACTGCAGTTGCACATCAACAAAAATTTACATCTTTTAAGGTATAAATTGAGAATTTTGATTTTTAAGGGTATAAATTAATAAGTGAGTTGGAAGGTGGTTAGGATTTGTGCCTTTTTGATACTAACAATGCCTTTGCACATTAATAATTTAAATAATAATTTTTTTGTTAAATTTATGAAAATATAAATCTTTTGCATAATTAAATTAAATGATAAATTTAGTGTCAAAAAATTTATATAATAAAACACATAGTAACTTGAATTTTTATCCTTTACATATTTTTTCCCTTAAAAACATTATATCAATCATTTTTATCACATGTTTAATCATTTATATATTTCTCTCCTAAAAAATCATATCACTTATTTCTATCATATGTTTAATAATTTAATACTTGATTAATTTGTAATTAATATAATTTTTATTTCAAACATTATTCATATATGATAGTATACACATGTTAAAGAAAATTGATATAGTAAAATCAATTTTTTAGGCACCCGAGTTTTATATTTTATTGTGCCTTCAGGCACGAGTTATGACTAATTAATCTATATGCTATTTCTTGTTAAACTAAATTATTAAAAAAATATGGCATATATTTTATTTTAGAATTCAATTTGATAACTATATTTATATAACAATATAATATAAATTCATCTTTATTTCGTCAAATAAATATAAGCATAAAAATGAAGAAAAAAAAATTACAAGTGTACTATTTATAAAGGAGTTCAAAAGAATTTTGAAGCCAAATACTACTTATAAAAAAGTTTAAAAGAACTTAAAAATCAAATTATATGAAGATATAAGGATATAATTGATTTTATAAAAGTTGAGCTAGTGATACATAACGTACATTGTACATAAATATATTTAAATAATATTTTTAATTAAATTTATTAAAATAAAAATTATATTTATAATTGAATTTTGGATAAATAAATTATGTGTCGACGAATTAATTTTAATTTTTATTAAACTTAATTATTAATTTATACATGTATTATACAATAATTTAAGTTATTAGAGTTATTATTGTAATTCAAGACCTAAAGCTATAAGAATAAGTAGAGCAATAGCTAGAGACCTAAATACTATATAATAAAAAGAGTTTTAATAGGACATGGAAAGAAAAATGATGACTTTAATAAGATATGTGGGGGTAAAATTGACTTAACATTATTAAATAGGGATGAAATAAAAAATCAAATTTTTTTTACATATATCGACATTTATAAGTAATAACTAGCAATGCACGATGTGTATTGCATGTACATAAATTTAAATAGTATTTTTTTTTAAAAAGAGTGAATTATATGTGTAATTAAATAAAATAATAAATTTGATGTCGAATAATTAATCTATGTTTTTATTATTATTAAATTTAGTTATTAGTTTATTTTATAAGTATTTAAGTAATTTTTTTGAGTACTTAATTTGTCATTTGTTTTAGGCATTTGCACAATTAATTATATTATAGGATTATTAATTTTTATTTTATTAAATAGATTAATTAAATCATTTATAATAATATTATATTATTACATACTAAAAAATAAAAAATAAAATATATTTGACTATATAATTCAATCTAATAATTACATGTATATAATAATTTAATATGTATATGACTTTACTTATTCATATAGATATAAAAAAATTGTATGTAAATGTACAATTAATAAATGAGTTCAAAAGAATTTAAAAGTCTTTATAAAAGAGTTCAAAATAAATTAAAAGTCAAATAAGAGTAAAAAACAAAAATTAGATAAAAGAATATAGGTGGGTATAATTGATTTTATTATAATAATTAGAGATAAAATAAAAATTAATTTTTTTCGCAAATGCTGATATTTATAAATAGTATAGATATAAATATATATTTGCTACAGTGAGAAGATTTGAAGAGAAAATTTGTACTTTATTTGCTATCATCCGTCACTTTAAGGAGAATTTGAAGAGCATAAAAACAAAATCTCAGGCTGGATCGAAATGAAAACCCCCAAATAAGGCCATGAAAAAACAATAACAATAACAACAGAAATTCATCAGGCTGGGACACATCCCTAATTATGCTGGTTTCTTTCTTCTAGGCTG